GATCTTTTTTCAAATTTCGGATATTTTCAAGATTTTTCGAGATATTTGCAAAAACACAAACCCCCTTTTTCTTACTGAATTGTTTATAACTTCTGCAAATTTTTCGAGCCCCTCTTGAAATTTTTCAAAATGTTGCTAAAGGTCATTCCGAATCGAATGAGCCCTGATCATAATTTTCGGTGCCCTTGGACGGAAGTTCCAAAAAAAAGATCTTGCGACTCAGACTGTAAGTCCTCGAATTATTTAGGGACGAATATAGCTATTCCCAGTCTTCTCAAGCACTTTCAACTAGATTTGACCGTGAATTGGGTACACTACTATTCTACAACACTCTGCCCATCTAAGCAATAGAGTGCTGCAAAACATCATGCATAGTGCACGTGATCTCCCCGACAAGGCTGTTTGTACAGGGTCGCACTAAGGAACAGCAGGGTATAGAAATATTTTTAGGTGGAGTGTGGGGACACAAATCAGCAGTTTCTTCAGGCGTATCAGTACTTGACATTCGAAAAATTTGAAACTTCAAATACAATACCGTATATGTACACATCATATGCGTTAAAACTTAAGTAACCACTCCGACACTGTAACAATGAATTCCACCAGCCGATTGCAGTTAAATCTGATTGGCCAGCGTAAGGAGACTTGTTTATTTCACCCACTAGATCACTAGATGCAAATGTGCGTGGAGATTATGCTTTGATCACGCGTTTGTTTGGGTTACTTTGTTGAATGGATATAGGTTAGTTCGACGGTCATTGAATGGACAANCCCAGTATAAAATATAATTTGAAGTATAGGTGTCAATATAAACAACAAAAAAACACATATATTGAATCACAACAGAGTTCCATTGTATATTCATCAAAATTGTAGTAAGTACGCTTTTAATGCAAGAACATCTTTAACAATATTTCTAAACTCTTTATAGCTTTTCTCCTGCCTAATTTCGTAAAGTATGTCATTATACAGCTTTTTTTTCTTTTATACATTAAAGAATACTTTGTGTGACTTGCTTTCGGAACAGGAAGATGTATTTTATTTCCTGTTACTTGCAAGGTTATGCAATTTATATGTTCGGGAGTTCCAACCATATTATGATTTTTGTAAATCAAGCAAACAGTTTCCAATATGAAAATACAAGTAACAGTGAGAATTTTTCTCTCAATAATAATGGTCTGTCTACATGACTCACGCACTCCCATCTTGCATAAGTATCTAACCGCTCGCTTTCGCAAAACAAACACTGAATGAAAAAGTTGTTGACTGCAAAATCCCCAGAAGGCAACACTATATCTCAGGTGGGACTCAATCAGGGAATGATATACCATTTTTGTTGTTGTTTTATCAAATATTAATTTGTTATCCATGAAGATTCACAGGAATTTGGATTGATTTTTATTCTCAAGAATTTGATCGTTCAAGTATAAATTGTCAATATTACAGCTGAAGATGGGAAGGTTTCTTTTTTGTTAAAGCACAAGTGGTTTGCGTCACACCATTTTTCACAACTTCTGAATCACTATAGTTTCTTTCATATTACAAGTATTTTTTCCATGCCAAAGGAGCGTGGTGTCATCTGCAAAGATCGTAAAAATTCCTTGAATTGAGAGAGTAACAAGGTTATTCACATATATAAGGAAAAGAACCGGGCCGAGTGCTGATCCTTGTGGAACGCTCCATAAGATACCCTTAGTGTGTGATAGTTTTTCGTTTGGTCTTAATAACTGTTTTCTATCACTGAAGTGAGACCTGAACCACACATTCCTCTGAAGCCATAGTAGTTCAACTTTTGTAAAAGAAGTTCATGATTTACACAATCAAAAACTTTGGGGAAATCGCAGAATACTGCAGCTACGACCTCACCATTGTTGAGATGTGTATAGACATGTTCAAGAAATAATTAATACACACAAAAATTATATTAACTCTTGTGGAAAGGTAAGATGGGATAAATAACTGGCGAGATGTACTGTAGAAAAGACAAGGTTTATTTGACAGTACTCTTACAAGTTTCAAAATGTAACGATCGATGAATCGATAACCCCCATTTTCAATGAAAACCTTTTTGAAAAGTTTGCTCTGTAATGACGATATTCTGAAAATCTAGCGTTTTCTTCATCGAATAATAATTTAATCACAATATTTTTTCTAATACCTGGTGATTCAACACTTCAAAACATTTTTTCTTGATTTTTTCGAATTGACCACTACTCTATATTTCATTCGAAATGTAATTTTCCTTTAAAAAGTTATTTTTCAGAATATGGAGTATGAGATCGTGTATGTAAATACCTATTAGCGGTTCGAAAGTCATATAACAATAATTTCAAAGAATATATTATTTTGCACAATGAACTTTTTCAGAAAAAAACTTCAAAAACCAAATTTCGGAGTGAAATAAAAGTTTTCGAACATTGAATTCCAAGGTTTAATTAAAATTATCTCTCAATAGTGAAGAACGTATAGTGTTCATTCTCAGGAAACTTGAAAGGTAAATATCCACATAAATTATAGGTTTTTGCAGAGAGAGTGCAGAATTCAGGCAACTGTAAATTCCTAGAATCTATACTTCAAACTTTCTGAGAATTTATGCCGACCATGTTGGTTATCACATTATTTCACTACATTTCTGATTCTGGGTTTGCGGTTTGTTAGTAAATCTTCAATAGGTTTGAAAAAAAAGTCATTCCATAACTGTCTAGGCAATAATTCAACGATTGTTTTAATTTTCTACAGGCCAGGCATTATTTGCAACAATTGTTAGAATTTTCTGATAAAGTTATGCAATATGAAAACAGAAGTATATCGAATGAGAAGTACGAGGATGTATTGCAAAAATCTCAACCCACTATCAAAAAAGTCAGGCCTCCATACTTCTTTTAGC